TTGTATATGCAATTAAAATTGTGCAGTTAAAAAATTAAAAATTATAGCAAAAATATTTATAATATTATTAATATTATATAATTTATATATTTATAATTTATAAATATTATAACAAAAATATATTATATGTTAGTCACTTTTTAATTATTTTATATATATGTATATAATATATTATTATATGTATTATTGCTGATAATAAGACGTTTGAAGTTTTCACAAGCATAATAATTTACATCATTTGTCTTTATGAATATATTATAATGTCATACATTTATAGTACATATTTTTTTATTATATATAATTCAGATATATTACTCATTTAGTGCAAACTATATTACATTAAATTATGCTTTTTCTTTACTACTTTTACATTAACAATGTTCAATAGAAGAATAAAATATGAATATTTTATTAATGTCAACAATAATATCTTTCTAGAAAGAAAGATATGGAGTAGTATAATATAATAATATATAAATAATCTTCACAAAATTATCATAGAGTATATATGATTAGATTTGTGAAAAGCAATAATACATCGAGGATAGTAAATACGTATATGTATATGAGAAATTTTGTTGGCTTATCATCTCATCCTCTTCTTGTAGTGCCATTATTGGAGAGACTTTTTTTTCTCGCGCAAAAACGACATCTCTAAAGGTTATCAAAAAGTGATAAGAAAGGACATTTTCTTGTCGTTGAGCGCCCTTTTGCGCCCTTCCTCACTCTCTTTTCTCTACTCGAAACTCGCACGCCAAGAGGCGTAATCGTTTCTGTACCCGATAACGCGTTTTATCCGTCGCCTCTCTCGCGTTCCTCTCGTCGCCGCGATTCACCAAAAGCGGTAGCCTTTGAGAATCACGATTTCGCGGGACGATAAAGGTACAGTTATTTGTTGGGAGGACACACACAAAGTCGACGCGAGGACCGAGGACAAAAGAGATGAGCGCGAAAAAAGGAATGATGCGCCTCGCGCCCGGGAAGATGCAATCTGCCGTAGTATTGTTTGATGCGATTTGCCGGCGGTTATTGTTTCGTACGTCGCAGCCACGAAGTTACACAATTACGTCTCGACGTCGTTGTACGGATTCACCTCTCGCGACGCCTTCTCACTGGTCCCTCTTTTCCTCGGCGCTTCTAGCATTCCCTAGGGCACAAAAGCGGTGGTTGCTGTTGAACGTCCGTCGTAGCATACCGACTTTGCTGAATTGTTCGGAACTCGCAGATTTCTAAACGGCAAAGAGAAAGAGAACGAATGGGTTTCTTATTCTCCATCTTTTCTCTATTTTTTTATATTTTTGTTTCTTGGTAAAAACGGTGACAATATGTCACAAAAATTCGTAAAAAAAATAGATAAAAATAGATAATAAGTAAAATGTCAAATATAAAGTGTTAGTTTTTTTCAGGATTAAATAAGAGTTTAAACTGAGAACGACGAAAACATATTTGCGAGATGATTATTCTTGATCTTTTTACTTTTTAAACAGAAGTCTTTTTTTGTATTTTGCGCGTTTTCGCTGTTGTATAACGGTTATTAAATATTCTTCTAATAATCGCTTACATTATATTCTAAATTTAAATCCATCAGTACTCATCCAGCGTAAAATAATTCACGTCTATTCTGATTATTTATTTAGGAGCCATGTCAAAGGCATAGTACCTTTTCACTTTCAGGATAAAAAATTCAGCTTGCGAACATTATAAGGAAAATTTAGCACAACTTTTTAACTAAATCCCACTTTTAAGCTTCTCATGGCTATTCCATTGTTATTCGGAAAAAATCTGTTATCCGCGATTATTCATTTTATAAAGAGACCAATAAAACAATAAAATTGTGAAGCCAGCGCGGCGCCTCCTCATTTCATCTACCACAAATTTGTTCAGCTCTCCGCATGGCGCACAGCTAATCTCACTCATAGGATTCCAGGGCACGGATTTTCGGTCTAGGTGCATATATTGTGCACATACAATATTTACATTAGAATGTAAACGATCTTCAAGCAGCCCGAGTTGTTGCGGCGCGTATGCATATTCCCGTCTAGACACCTCTTAGTACTTCGTCGAAACTGTCGAGTCTGCTCGCGCGGTCCGTTTAATGTGTACGAATACATAATTATCGAATTACGGACTATGCACGCGCAGATGGGTTCGCGCGTGTTTACACAGTATAATTTCATACGCCACGAGTTATCCAAATTATACCAATTATGCGTAAATTATTGTGTGTACAGGGATGATGTAGTATACACATCCGCGCGAGTACAATTAACACCCGCGAATCCAATATCGAGCGACTAAAGATGTCTGGAAATACTGACGAGTAATCGATGACAACTGTGATGATGATATACATTCGTATTGGCATCGGCATTATTCCTATGTACATCGAGATCAGTACTATTATATTACGATTAAATGTAGTAATAATGTTTCATTGAAGTTTAGATCTTTTTTTACATTGATTTTTGTGATCTCACATATATAGCGAATAATTTGACCTTATCGATTTTGAAGATTTATTGCTCACACGTCGCATTGTTAGCTCGTTTCGTTAGTAGGCTCTGAGCATATTTCGCGGAGCATCGACGAACGTGATACGCGAGTACACGTATAATGGTGCTCCTGGTGTAATTACAGGAGATTCTGCTTGCCGAAGCGCGATCTGTTATTTCCGTCCCTCCTTCTTCTTTTATTAGACGACGGTATGCATAGAAAGCTGTATAAACGAGATAGGCAGCGGAGCATTCGCAGCATCGCCCTCACCGACCCGGCCTACACCCTTTTGTTTAACGCCTTATCTCATCTACTGGCAATTTGATCTATCCAGCATGAAAGAGTAAACCCGACAGATTAAACAAAGATGAATTATTATTCTTTCTTAAATTATAACATAGCTCTAATATATATGCTATTTCTCTATCTTCTTCTTTCTTTCTCTCACACACACATATACATTCCTCAGTTATCATATCACATTATAATATAGGAAAAGCAATTTGCAAAATGTGTTATTTCTTATCTAAATTTAGAAAATATATAATTTTTAATCTTTTCAATCTTTGAGATATGCTGGACGTAATTCATATAAAAATCGCGAAACTAATAGAAGGTTTAATTAACGTTACATTTTTATTTTGATTGTAATAGCAATTTCTCCAAGTCAGCAGAATTAATATTTTTCTTTATAGAATATGGCTATCGAGTATTTTTAAACTAATATAGCACTGTAAAAAGAGTAAATCATATAATGGAATTTTTTGTATATAAAAACTGACATAATTTTTTATTGAAATAAATTTTCAATAAAAAGAGTAAATCATATAATACAATTTTTTGTATATAAAAACTGACATAATTTTTTATTGAAAAATACTGATTTTTAAAAATTAATTTTATTAAAATAAATTTTCAATAAAAAATTATGTCAGTTTTTATATACAAAAAAATGCATTATATGATTTATTTTTCATATTATAACATAATCGATACATATACTGATTTACATTATAATGATGTTATGCACTAATAAATAAACTTACAATTAATGTAATCATGAAAATTTAAGTTTGATAAATGAATTATTGATTAATCAGGTTGTTTTGTAATAACTTAATGTATTCTATTCTATATTATTTTATATAATTTTTTTAAATGCTCAAAATGCAAGCTTATCTACATATTCTCTTGAAGTCTAATAAGATAAAAGGAAATAGATTTTTAAAGAAAGCTCTGTCAAAATAAATATTTAGTAAATAATTAAATTATTATAAGTTATTATTACTAAAAGTTATTATAAAAGAAAAAATTTGAAAAATATTTTATATATATTATTATTTTATTATGTTTATATAATACATATTTTTCACATATATTATGCAAAAGTCAATCTTTCAATGAGTGAATTTGATGTTATTTGATTTTTTGGATTAATTAAGAATTATTTTTTTAATTGCTCTTTCTGTTCAAAATCTTTTATTTAGTACAAAAATTGTTTAAAATTAATTCTGATAAAAGTTATATTATTTATATATTAATTTATCAAAGATTTATGTGAATAAAAATAACAGGTCATGTGCCATAATGAGTTAGTTCGTTTCTCTCTCGTTTCTTTGCTAAGGTTTTTGCTTTGAACATAGCAAAAGGTATTTCCCGAGAGTAATAGCATGTGATTACTTCTTTTTAAAAATCAGTATTTTGTTTATTTCTCGAAATGTAATTGCTGTAGTTGCTCCAATATTCCTTACACTCCAACCAATCGCAAATCGGAATATTTTACATGTATATTACAAGAAGTAATATTATTTGCAATAAAATTTTTTCCATCTTTATTATGATTGTGTATTCAAAGTATATAAAGTTGTTTTTTTACAAATATTATAACTTTTATCATAATTTTTATCATTATTTTTATCCGTATGCAAAATAATAAACTTTCGCGAATTTATTCATAATTTAACTTATAATATAGCTATTATTTTTTAAATATAAATGGAAAATTTATTTTTGTGTAACATATCTAAATAAAAATATGCAATATATGATTATAAGAAAATATATATTAGATTAAAAATATATTAGATAATATATATATATATATATTAGCTTTGATAAAATATATATTAAATTTCTTTTTTTATAATAACTTTCAATCGTAATATCTTTTAATAATTTTGACTAGAACAAATCATAAGTATAATTAATAATAATAGCTAGTTATAGTTAATAAGCAACACGCAAAACGCAAAATTAACAATATCTAACTTGTAATTTTTTATATAGACACAATACAATTAAAATGCAGTCTAGAATTAGTAAAGTTAGTTACTAAAAGTTAATAAAAAAGAGTTGATAATTTCTTAATAATAATTCAACAATAATTTTATAATAATATTAATATAATATAAATTTTATATATATAATTTTTCCCGGAACATCTTTCTCAAAATGTTTAGTTATGCGATATAATAATTGTTACTTATATAATAAATAAATCGATATAATGACTTTTTTACATGTATGCATATTATTTATGCAACATTTATTACGGTTGGTGAGTCGAAAGTAGAAGTAAGCTTTCGTGTCTCAATGATATGTTTATACCAGTTAAATGATAATTTTGGAGTTCTTGTTCGCTGACTATCCGTGAAGTTGACGTATACCAATCCAAATCGTTCTCTATCAAAACAAAATTTATATACTTACAATTATATTTTATTTAAAATTATAATTAGTATGTACTTTATAAGAATGTAAATTGTACTTCCTAAGGCGTCATTGATTATAAAGTAATTTAAGAAAATGTAACAAATAAGAATAACTTACGTATAACCAGCGAGCCATTCAAAATTGTCTAGAAAACTCCAAATAGTATAGCCTTTCACGTTACATCCATCTTCATAAATGGCTAATAGCATAGCTTTTATGTAAGAATGCAAATAAGATATTCTTGAATGATCTGAAGTGCAACATTCGTCAGAGAAGCCATTCTCCATAATATAAAGAGGTGGATTATCATATTCTTTCGCAATCTTGTTAATAATTTCTCGAAATCCTTGAGGAACAACCTAAAATGTCCACAGGTCTTTGTATGAAGATATAATTAATATTTTTATAATTCATATATAGAGCATAATATATTACTATAATATATCAAGAAAATTGCTTTGTTATAATTCGTGTAATTTTGTTATATGTAAAAAATATACGAAATGTCAGTAATTTAATTCAAAATATTTGTTATTTTGTAATGCACAATACTGCATTCGACAAATCAACTATTCGTCCTTTTATAATTAATCATAATTTTACCTCTTATATTCGATTCAGCCGAATTGTTGGAATATACATATTTTCTGAAATGCATTCGATACTGATTTCCAATTTATGATGTTGTGAATACAATCTATGAATTATTCACTGAATGAATTATTTACAACAATAAGTTAAATTGTGTACATCTTAATTGAGACTAACGCGTTATTATGGTCAAATTAATAAATTTTGAATGAGTCGTGTACAAATAGCAATAGTTTTGCGCTCACGAAAATTTATATCTGCTAATTTGATATAGGCAATTAGTATGCATCTTCTATATTAACTAACTTTGAGCCAAGATGAAGCGCTTCCTGGCCATGATGGATCTAAACTCTCTTTTACGCCAGAAAATTGATACCATCTTTGTCCTTCTTCTCGTGGCACTGTTTCTACACGTACTGAAGTATAATGATTCAATGCGAAAAAGTCCGATGTGCCCCTTAAAGAAAACAAAGGAGAAAAGAAATTGAAAATGTTAAATGTTTAGCTTCCGATATTTCATTGATAAAGAAAGTAAAAAAGAACTATATAGGCATGTGCACTTAAAACATTATAATTATATATCACAATTATATATACCTATTACGTGTGTTCACATTAATAAATAATTATTCAGAGATATGCTAATAGATTGCACATGCATGCTATAAACTTACTTAATATAGTTCACCCATGTTGGCGAAAATTTTGGTAAAAGCGATCTCGGATAGCCATCCAATCTACTGTTCTCAGCTATATGGGTTTTCATGACTTCTGGATAATCGCCAGTCTTCGAAAAAATTGGATGAACTGCCCATCCACAATGGAATTGAAAATGCAGATCTATTGCTGTAGTATCATTAAGATGTTTGGCAATTGCACCTGAGCAAGCTGCATCTATACCAATTTTGTCCCCTGGTTTTCGGAATTCTTCATCATAAATATGATAAATCTTGGCATGTGCTTTCAGAGCGTTATGCATACACAGATATTTGCCAGTACTGCCTAAATTCTTTCCTAAAAGTACATTTTATTCTAAAAATCTATCCGACATGATTTTGTTGAAGATTTCGTACGTGTTTTGCTGAAGAATGAATAGCTACATATGCGATAGATACCTGGTGCTTTATCGTTTCTTCCGTATCCTTCGTCGCAAAAGACGGCTGCTTCATTGATAGTTATAAAATATTTAACTTTTGGACCAAGCTCTTTGAAAATGACTCTTGCGTAATCGGATATCCATTCAACCATCATTTCATTGGTCCATCCACCCATCTTTTCGAAAATTTCTGGATGATCCCAATGATATAAGGTGACAAATGGTTCGATACCTTTTGCTAACAGTTCGTTAATAAGATTTTTGTAATAATTGATCCCTTCACGATTGATTACGTTAGCGTAACCTGTCGGCAAAACTCGTGGCCAACTGATAGAAAACCTATAAAAGTCAACCTAAAACATTTATGTTTTAATGTGTTATATAATATTTTATGTATACGGTAAAATATATATGTTTTTTGTATTTACGTACCTTTAAGTTACTTAATAATTGCACATCCTCTTTATATTTGTGATAAGAGTCGCAAGCCACGTCACCAGTGCTATGATCACGTATAAAATTTGGACGGTTGTGTGTATATTCGTCCCATATACTTTCGCCCTTACCTTTTTAAATTTAAATATATTATAATAAATTGTATTTATAATTATTAAATAATTATGAATCTTATAATAATATAGTAGTGCTAAAAAATCTTGACGATCAGTTTTTATGCATTGTTCATACTTTGTTAAGCAGTGCTATTAATTTTATTATCACATGTGCCTTCATGTGCAGTAACCAGTGCTCAGTTATTCATTGTTCTTCATACAATATGGTTGTATATTTTGTTATACTTGACAATATCTTCAAATTTTTAAAAAAAATTTTGATAATATTTGTCGAGAGAGAGAGAGAGAGAGAGTGCAAAAGACTTTTGACACAATCGATTACTGCAAATAATTAATTATTGAATCCTGAATATATTATTATTAAACTTTTTTTTAATATAATAAATTATATCGGCTAATTATATCGAAAAGATATTGAAAAAAATATTCAGTTGATTTTAAGGACGCTGTAATCCGTGCTTTAAAAGAGAAACACAATAAAATAAAAGATCGTTGTTTTGATTATTTCAGTTGATGAGTTTGGAATCATTATCGTATGTTCATATGTATATAGAAGATCTTAATTAGCATTTTTATGTTTGAATAATTATTTAATGTTAAACATATTCTCAGAAGTCTTATCTACGTACCACTTTCGTTCCAAGCACCTTCTATTTGATAAGAGGCTGTAGCCGTGCCTAATAAAAAGTCCTTGGGAAAATGTAATGTATCGTTAGCGAAGGCATATGTGATAATAAAAATGAAACTGACAGTAACTCCGAGGAATGAATAGCTCGCCATTGTGAAGACGACTGACTGACAGTAACCACAGCAATTGAATATATTATCAGTTATATACACTGACCTCTATATATATATTCTGCTAAAGATAGCAACCATTTCTTTAATATTTACTAACGTTCATAATCTCCCTCCTTGTGAAAATTATGATTACGTGGCGTTTTACACATCGTAGATAGATGCATAAACAAATATTGCTTATAATAATATTTAAATAATTTAAAAAATAAATTTACTTTATTATTGAACAAATGGATTAAGATGATAGATATTAATACATTGACACTATTTGCATTAAATAATTATATATAATAAGATATATATATATATATATATATATATATATATATATATATATATCTGACTAGATCGCATAGTTAAGGTCAATCAGTAAAATTATTATCGATAACTTTGCAGAAAATGTTTATTAAAATGAAATTACTTAGCGTGCATTAATGAAAGAATTAGCGTTATTACTTCGTTTTATCTTTTTAAAGTTGCTTGTCTCGTGCGCTAAATTACGTGTATTTCTACTTTTCTTCATATTGTATTAGAAATATAAATTATAGTCAAAAGTGATAATACATTATGTATGTACATACAATGACTCATTATTTTTATCTAAATATATTTCATTATATACTTCACAAAACAAGATGTTATTGCATAATTAATGTTTTTATTATCTTTTGCAATCTATTGACAATGAGAGTTTTATTAATACACGAACGCTTCATACGTTCTATGCTGTGTGTATATTATCTTGATTTTATTTTTGCTTTTATGAATGCATTTTTGAGCACATTATCGAATTCATATTTCGATAATTACGCATATATTTTACGCAAGGTTCCAAGTCATTATACTTTCAGTGCAGTTGTTATTTGAATTAGCCTTAGAAATTACGTATTACTAATTATAAGTAGTGTCTCATTCTTATAAACTACTAACAATAAGTGGTAATCGTAATTGTATATAATCTTTATAGCTATATACATATTAATTAGAACATACTCTAACACACACACAATTTTAATATACAAATATAAATATATTAATGATAAATTAATTACATATAATATATTAATAATAAATTATCAGTTATTAATTTATTCAAATTTTAATAATTCTCAAAAAGATATTTGGAAAAAAATCGTCTTTTAGAGATTTTTCGGAATTATTATATAACTTGTATGTTACAATTTTATACAATAATTAGATTTTAGATTACCAGAAATGTAATATAATTTTTTCGGAAAGAATTAGAATTTTGATGGTAAAAAATGAATGTAAATGCAATTAGGGTAGAATAAATATGTATATACAAATAACATTTAAAATCCAAATTGTCGCAATTCGCCATATTTCACAATTTCTTACGTGATTGTTGATTTATTTAGACTGATTCAATATGATTTAGATTAATTGTGCTAGTAAATGTTGCGATTTCTCGTGTGAGCTTCTAACATAAACTCGCCACAAAAATGTTCGTTGATTTCATGAAAACTTTTTGTATGTGCTTTCGCGCATGCTCTTTGTCATAGACGCAAATGTAATAAATAATAGCTTTGTTTGACGTAAGCCATTCTATTTTTGAAACTTTCAAGAGAAGATTCGAGTGCAATGATAGCATGGTTGAATACCTGTTTCTTCTATTATATCTATTTGTAATAAGAAAGGAGAAACAATTACAAAAATAGTCGATAAATTTCATACCAAAACTTTTACAAATAAGTAGACAATGATAGATAAAGTAATCTTATCATATAAAAAAATAATTTTTACATATATATAAAAATACGTGACAAATACTTATAACTATTTACTCTTTACATTGTTCAGTATTGCAAGGAAAGATAAAAGTCATAACTGACATCTTAAATTTTAAAGATTTAATAGTCAAATTTTTTTCCTATAGTTTTAATATTTACATAATAAAAATTGTTAATTTAAAAATTGTTGGTTTAAAAATTGTGGATACAAGCAAAAAAATAAAACAATATAATCGCATTTTAGAAACTAGGAAAAAAGCATTATGATTTTATGACGTACTTCTTGTTTAATGTATTTAATTGTAAATGAATTAAATAGTAAACAGCCTTAGAGTATGTGAAAATAATCACATTTTGGCATATTTGTATATGTTGTGATTGGATATATTTTTTGTTATATGTATTATATATTTGTATTATATATTGTTCAAATTATCATGTATAAAATTAGATATTAAATAAATTATATTGTTGAATAAATATAATAGAAATAGATATATTTTTAAAAATGGCAACATTAATCCATCAAATATGGAAATATAAACATACAGAGACATAATAAAAGATTAAATAGATATATAAATAATTGGCACAATAGCCTTTTTGGAAAAATTTATGAGCATAAAGTTTGCACGACAAGAGAGGAAAAATAAATAATCCTCATTACGATCCCAGTTATTGACAAACAAATAATCGCAATGATAAACATCAATTACATACGTCACTAATTTATCAAGTTTTTAAATACCACATAACGTTACGTTTATGTTACATAAATGAAAGAGAGATAAGTTTTATCAAGAAAAAAAATATTCGTATAACACACTTCACAATAAACAGATTATATCTATATTTTTTGTTGTAATCACGGCATTTAGATAATTAAAAGCTTATATTTTATTTACTAAATCTAAATTATATAATCGATTATATACCTATATTTAAAGGCTAAATATAAATAGAAAATGTGTGTGAACAGAAAATCAAATCGCGTCACTCAGAGATGCAAATGTTATAAGTTCCAAGGAAATATAAACATTATCCCTATACATGATATAATTATGTAGTATCTAACAAAACAAAATTTAATACTTGTTGCGAATATCTGCAGATATGATTAATAGTACATATATTCTATTTGTATCCGGAGTATCTGGAACGCTTATGCGTATGCGATATAGTAAAAGAAAGAAAGATTTGTATAATAGTGCGCGGTTTCTTATTTTTCGATATAAATAAAATGTCCGAAAAATGCATTATTAGAAATTATATCCGCATACTATTCATGTGAAAATAAGAATTATATAAAGATTTGATTTATTAAAAATTACCTACGACATTACTCGTTTATACGTATGTAATAATAAATATTAATTATGCAAAGAAAATTACAAAAAAAAATAATAAACAAAATTTGTTAAATTAGCAATAGAATACAGGTAATAGGAACTACACTTAATACATTAAATATACATATAATAATTTCAAGGAAAAATATTTGTTTTTTCCTTCTTTTTCTTTATCATGCCCAATATTCGTGCCTTCTTATCTCATAATGCGATGTTTTCATCTTGCCTTGTCTCGAATTAAAATGATAAAATTGTGTGTAAGACGAAGAGTAATACGCTCAGTTTCTAAGAGAGGACCGTCCTGCCACATTGAAACATTTTCGCGACCCATCCTGAAGAGAAATTTACTCGCCGGCGGGAAATACGTATTCTGACAGGTAATCTCCGCGAAACATTCGGCTCTGAAGTAAGGTTGGGTTATATAACCCAAACAGAAAAATACATTGGGAGCACGAAAACTTTGTTGCTAGAGAAGAAGCAGATAACGCTTCTTCTCTCGTTTCCCCTCTCTCTTTCCAAGTGTCTCGATGTTTCCGATACAGAATAAGGCGCGCATCCGACATATATATAGCATATAGTGAGACGCGCGGCTTTACGATACTTCGCGAAGAAAGTGTATCAGAGAATTTTGTATGCGTATGCATTTCGACGCGTACAGTCCGCTCGTAAGGCGTGACAGTAATATGAAAAAATAGATACAACGCGTTATACCTGTTTGCTTCTCCCTCTCTTTTTTTTCTCGTATTCCTTCGTGAAAGCGGAAAATCGAACCGAGTTTCGCGCGCGCGTGCCAAGTAGTCCGCGTTTATAAATTCTAATTTTCGCTCAGACCGAATATAAAAGTTCTCGAGTTTTGTGATTTTCAGCGAGGCGAATTTCTTACGAGTTTCTTTTCGCCTTGCGAACGAAAGAGTTCACAATATAATTTTTCTTCAGCTATAAATCATTTTATGTTTCGTGACTAATAGCATTTTAATTTATATCTTTACGACCGAAGAAGGGACTTTGTGGATTCTTATTCTTCCGTACGACGAATGCAATTTCTTTCGTAAGACAGTAGCAAAACGAAGAGACCGGAGAGAGAGTCTAATATTCACTTTTAAAAGATATTTTCTCGGAGAAATGTGAAACCATCTGTCATAGAAGTTCCAACGCAAAATTTCATTTATCTACTCCCATTATATGATATCAATTTAGAGTTATACAGATCCATTGTTTATTCTCATATTACTTACGCTATCCTTTACTGTCCCATCTATTTAGGATTTTCTTCTAGATTTATAGGTATAGAATTCCTTCTCTTCTCTCTCTCTCTCTCTCTTTTGTAGAAAAAGCAAATATATTTTAGTCGAATAGACACTCTGAGCTTTGATAACAAGGGTCGAAACTTTTGGAAATGGAGCATGGTATTACCGCCCTACGCGTGGATAACCGATCGAACCTTAAAGATAGCATTAAATCGAAGCTTTATGTGGCGATTATCCATTCGGGGGCCCCTTATCGCTGCAATTCCACTCATAAAGATCTCGATACATTGCTTTTAACTCCATATATGTACGTGCTATGCGATTTCGCAGAGTTTACAATCTCTTGATAATGCTTAAATTAATCTGTGCAATATGCTAATTTGGTATACGATATTTCTGCTTATTCCCGCTTCACGCATCTAAGAAATTTCGACAATGCGCTTCCTTATCTCGTGATAATTAGTTTCAAATGTATCAAAAGTTGGGCGTATGAATAAATCGGACGTTATCCGCTCGCGCCGTAAATCTTCATCTAAATACTGAAAACAGGCGCCGAGCGGTACTTTTGGTCCTTTACTTTTTAATTAGATCGTCTGCAAAGTTCCGGTTAAAATTCGCGCAACGAACGAACGTTTCCGTGCTAGTTGAGACTAAGCTAGATAATTTAGGTCGCCAAGGTAAACG